GTTGCCGACCCCTGCACTAGGCCCTTGTCTCTTAAGTCATTTTCCAGAACGCTGCTAGGCTTGGCTTGGAGTAGGTCGGCATTATCGGCGTAAGGCACTACCACTAGACTACAAGATACGCCTATCCATAATATTCCAATATTAGTCTATCCTATATTACTATAATCCTATAAACAGGTTATATATATTGAAAAAGTATTAGGACAAAATAGGGTGAGACGGGATGGCGGCGTGCCAAAATAATAATTCCCGGAAGAGCGTTGCAGACTGTTTCAGCTGAAATGAAGCACCGTCAATATATATATACACGCATGTGTTGTAATGCACGGCTGTGATTTGTAGGAGACGTCATTGTGGTTAGAATGCAGATTATGTTTTATGTAAAGGAGCATGATTGGCAGGTAGTCTAATACCCTTAAATACAAGATGTTAAAAGTGTGTAGAGACTCTAGCCCATTACAGTAGTCGGCTTAAATTTCAAAGCTTCACGACTCTTGTGTTAGGAGAGTTCAACTCGCTATGTGAAGGTTTCAAGTTCAAATTCTGCTCAGGGGTCCATTGCAGGGCGACTGCAGCCCATCCATCGCTTGGGGTCAACAAAGGGAAACCCGCTTTGCGAGAAGTAAACAGTCGTTGTCTTATGCTCCCCACCGCCGGAGTTTGAATGGTCGAGAATAATGACGGAGCGACAGCCGAGGAGTGGAACGCGTCCGAGAGGACGTTCACCGAGGAGATGGAGCTGAGAAGGCAGCTCGCGTGCAGGCACTTGGCGGTGTATTACATCACGGAACCGTGAGAAGATCGCGGCGGTCTGGCAGAGGCCTTCATCCAACAGTGGATATTGACCGTGGCTGATGATATGAATATGGTAGAGTATGATAATTGGTTTTTTACCCTTCTATCTGGCAACAAAACTGCCACCTTTTTTTTAAACAAGGAGTCATGTTTGCATAGACCACAATACCTGCAGCCATAATGCAAGCAAAAAACATAACTCTGATAATATATGCACTGTCCTTGAAGTTGATTGGTCCACACCCGAGACAGCTTTCCTTAGAGCCTAGCCTCACGTGGTGTTGGACCAGATGACGCCAAAAGGCGCACAACTCAAAGACAATGCACCATCAGAGTATGAGAGCTCGGGGTAAGCATTTACACCATTTACAGCATTATGGCTGCAGGTATTGTGGTCTATGCAAACATGACTCCTTGTAAAAAAAAGGTGTCAGTTTTGTTGCCAGATAGAAGGGTAAAAAACCAATTATCATATTTTTTACTGCCAAATGAGGTTCCAATGATGGTAGAGTATGTCCATAACTTGCTCAGGATTGGCAATGGAGATGATCATAATAATTAATCTGAGCATGGATTTATTTTTACTTGATATAGCCCTATGTCAGTGTAAAGTTAGGTTGGTACATCTTTACAACAAAAACAATCTCGTTTACAAACACTTTCGGCCACCTGACATTCATATTGCACACACACACACGCACACACTGACTCCTCATTTTGACTCTTCATTGTGTGAGGGCAGGTGCTGTGAGTGACCTTCTGACAGGCCCGGCATGACACACTCAGGGAGAGGTACGGCAGGCACTAGCGCTGGTGTTGTGTTGGCACACGACACGAGGTTGCGGTGCACGTTTTACAAAAGACGGGTTCGCGTGTACGAATGTTGAACTTCTTTCGTACGTAGCCAACCGCGATAATTGGAGGTATCACTTGCATATATGACCAGGACTCGAATACAGACGGCCTCCAGTTTACGACGGTTCCATTTGTGACGATCCACGTTTATGATGTTTATATAATGCCACCATGGATCGGTTTACGAGGCAGAAACTTTATTTTATTTACGAGGCATCTTCCGACATGGTTCCAAACACAATTGAACAGAGTTGTTCTGGTTTCCGATATGACTTGGCGTGGAGCTTTTGTGTTCCTCAAGTGTCTTTGTGGCTTTTTACCAATTAAACCCTGTTAAATAATGATGTTTGTACGGTTTCCACTCTCTATGGGAAAATAGGGTTCGATTTACGAGGGGGTTTTCCAGGATCTCATTGTGTCGTCAACGCGGGGACTGCCTGTACTGTAGAGGCCGCTAAGATTGTGGGATTGCCATGCACGTAGACATGCACAAGCCACGTTCAAGTGCACGCAAGGACAAAGCTCCCCCTGTCTCGTCTCAGTCTTCTGGGACAAGTGCTGTTCGCCAGCATCTATGAAGGCCTACATGACGCACACAAGGGTGGGTTGGCCATGCCTTTGTCTTGAAATAACACTGGTCAACACACTTTTTCTGGCATAAGGTATTCCAACGGTTTTAAGGTAATTTTGGAGTGCTGATTCAAAATCTGGCATCAGTTTTTGTCTATCACATCAGGTTTTTGAGATATCAAATATTGCATTTTCAATAAAAACTGCAGAAGAAAAAGATTAAATAAATGTGGATATCTACATAAAATTATATTATAAACACACTATTTTAAAAAATACAGCACCATATTTTAACACTAAAGCAGTCACTGACTCGCAACAACTTGCAATCATAAGTGGCAGAGTTAATTTCGGGTAAAATCAATGAAAATGGGATATGAAGAGCAAATCTGAGATCAGGTTTGGAATCAGCACCCTGCAATTAGTCTAAAACAGCTGCAAAAGTCCAGGCCAGAATTTTTTTTTTTGTTGACCAGTGTTATTGATGGTTTCACACCACGCCAAGTCTTCATTTAATGCTGAGTCAGCCTAGGAGAGGTCTGAGGTTGACCCGCTTAGATATTACTTACCACAGGTATCGTTCGTGGCCAGAAATTGATGAACTTGGGTCATCCGGGTGTGTAGCCCAGTGCCTTAACCAGAGGTGTGGACTCGAGTCATGTGACTTGGACTCGAGTCAGACTCGAGTCATGAATTTGATGACTTCAGACTCGACTTGGACTTGCATAACAATGACTTTGTCCCACCTCTGAGGTGTGGACTCGAGTCATGTGACTTGGACTCGAGTCAGACTCGAGTCATGAATTTGATGACTTCAGACTCGACTTGGACTTGCATAACAATGACTTTGTCCCACCTCTGAGGTGTGGACTCGAGTCATGTGACTTGGACTCGAGTCAGACTCGAGTCATGAATTTGATGACTTCAGACTCGACTTGGACTTGCATAACAATGACTTTGTCCCACCTCTGAGGTGTGGACTCGAGTCATGTGACTTGGACTCGAGTCAGACTCGAGTCATGAATTTGATGACTTCAGACTCGACTTGGACTTGCATAACAATGACTTTGTCCCACCTCTGAGGTGTGGACTCGAGTCATGTGACTTGGACTCGAGTCAGACTCGAGTCATGAATTTGATGACTTCAGACTCGACTTGGACTTGCATAACAATGACTTTGTCCCACCTCTGAGGTGTGGACTCGAGTCATGTGACTTGGACTCGAGTCAGACTCGAGTCATGAATTTGATGACTTCAGACTCGACTTGGACTTGCATAACAATGACTTTGTCCCACCTCTGAGGTGTGGACTCGAGTCATGTGACTTGGACTCGAGTCAGACTCGAGTCATGAATTTGATGACTTCAGACTCGACTTGGACTTGCATAACAATGACTTTGTCCCACCTCTGAGGTGTGGGCTCGAGTCAGACTCGAGTCATGAATTTGATGACTTCAGACTCGACTTGGACTTGCATAACAATGACTTTGTCCCACCTCTGGCGTTAACCACTGCACCACTGATTCCCGCACACACACGGACATTGACTAAACCCACGCATTTACAATCTAAATGTATATTCCTGTCTGATTTCCAATCAAGACAGTTCAAACATTGCACTATTTTATTCATCTGCCATCGACTCCTTACAATCAATCGCACAAATTGCATGCACTGCAGAAAGGCAATTTGTAGATTGCTGGTGGTGGGTTGTGGGGGGGGGGGTGGTGAATGAGGATTCCCCGACCTCTGGGCTATGCGTGGCTTGCGAGGTAGAGGGAGTTGAATGTCGCTTCAACTTTGATGAATATTTATCTTACGATGAATCACTACGTGGCATTGCTACAATTCAAAATCATAATTATGTTCCAGAATCGATTCTTTTTTTTTCCATTTTGCGATGTGTGTAGCGGCCTCTGGTGGCTGCAGGGATCATGTTGAACTCTTTACGACACAAATGGAAAAACAGCATTTGATTTCTGTACACGTGATGTTTATCGATGCGTTTATCGGGAGCTGAAAGAATCGATATTAATTGGCAAATTTATGAGCATTCTGCACCTCAGATTAGCGCGGTTGGCTCCATACGGTGCGAAAGAAGTTCAACATACATGCATCGATCGTTACACCGATAGAAATCCATGGCATCCACTAATTTACTGAAACAACGTCTACAGGGGGATGTGACGCAGATAGTTCTATAGCCTCTGTCTGGTCATTTTGTAGGGATATATTCACGATTTTCTGATTCATCTGAAAAAATATTTAAAAAATCCAGCTAATATACGAAATTTGGAATGATCTGGAAAAACGATTTGTTTTGGATTAATCTGAAAGTGTGACGGTATAGGAAATTATATCACCTACCACACTACTTCCAGGCTTTTTCTGCAAAGAATGGTGTCACGTGGCATCAGATGTCGTTGCGAAGGCATGTTAAATTGTTACACCGTGTAAGTGATCCGAAACTACGAAACATTTATGAAAATGTCCTTAAAAATATAATTTTAAAACTCATCTTTTTTTATATGAAACTTTTCCCAAGTATTTTTTTCTTGCTCATATGCATTTTTTCCAGATAATAACGCTTAATAAAATTGATTTGCAAATGTGTCTAAATTTCCTCATTAATAGCTCTTAAAGCACCAGCGATTATTTACTGTCTATCGATTTGTAACTAAAGAACTCCATCATCATAATGCAATGTTCGTAAATAACTTTTGTACTTCCACCCCCCATAACTTCCATCGTGTGTTTGCCTTCACCCCTCTCTTGACCAGGCTGACATTCAGAAGATCTTGAGAAATGCAAGAAAGTTGCCTGAGAAGACGCAGACATTTTACAAGGTCAGCTCATCTTATCGGTCAGGACAGCACTGAACATTCTTTCCTTTCAAACACAAATTAACCTTATGGCTGGAACCCCGGGGTCCCATAATCCCCCGGTTCTCGCATAAACTGCGTTGCGACGTCATTTTATGTCTATTGAAGGCGAACGACACGGCAATTTATTCCTCTCGACGAGTCCTACACGATGCGCTAATCCAAGTTTCAAAGTTTTGTTGATGACTACAGCAATTTTGGCAACGACATGACAACAGAATGATCCGCGCCAGGTGGGTCACTGCGCGGTGGGACGGAGTTGCCAAAAGTAAATTCATTAATGACGATTTTGACCCTGGGGGCCCGCCATAAGGTTAAAATATTCAACTTAACTCTTTCGTCGAACTTGATACAACTGTAAGGTTTAATCCTGTTTATTTGCACGTGCCAAAGACGTGTTGGCCAAAGGAGGGCGTGGAGGCCTTCTCAGGAGGGATTAAATGACAGAAGGGAGTCAATTTAAGTATTTTCTTAAAAAGTGAAATTTGCTTGTTTTGTCCATTTTTTAGAATGTTTTGGAGTTTAATTCCTCTGGGCTTGAACACCTCCTGAAGCCTACTCTTAGACTCTGCACAGAGGTCCCTAAGGCCAAATCGACATTCAGAACATGTTGTACACTTACAGCATCAACATAAATTCTTTACAGGTTACATCCAATACATATTTGCACGTGGCATGTTCAGTTTTTGAGATACTTGTCAAAGTAAGTCATGCGCTCGCAAACCCGAGACAACCAAGGTGTTTTTAAATGAGCTCGTGGCGCCCATAACGCACCGTGTCCCCTGTTGAGATCTGATTGTGACGATTGTGCCCGAGTGGTCCGTAACCAAAGTGTTGCTTCATTGCTTCACTTAGCAAACATAAATGGAGGCTCTTCATAAACACGAGGTAAAATGGCATGAGTTGCCCTATTTATCCTCCCCAGCCTCCTGATTTCCCACCGGAGCTTCTGGCTGCCAGTAAGAAGATATCTCAACTTCTCACGTGGGCCTCATGACCTCCCTCCCCAACAACCTTGACAACTCCATACCCCCAGGGCTACCCAGTTTTTTCAAATCAGAGGACTCCCTTCTGGCCACATCGACCTCGCGTCCCTGCCACATAGAGCCTGCGCCCCTCTCAATGCCTGCTCCTCGCTGCTGTCACCGCGGTGGCGAGAAGTTAGCTACCTCGCCTGGTATACAGGAGGTCGTGGGTTCGATCCCGACCTTAACAATGCCTATTGTATTTCGATTTAAAGCTTTCGTGACTGCAGGGATTCATCTTCTTGGTTCTTTCGGTAAAGTCACGTAGAAGGGAAGTAATAAAATCATAAAAATTAAACATAATAAAATTATTCTCACGACGTTTCGGCCACAATGCAAGTAGCCGTCCTCAGGTGAAAACCAGGTCTGTCGAGGCGACAGTGTCTGAATGAAACAGCACACGCGCTTGGAGCATGTATATAATGCCTATTGTATATTTGGAGTTTGAATGTTGGCTCCGTGGTCACGTGGATTTTTTCTGTGGTTCCTCCGGTTTTTCCCTCCACATTGAGAAAGTTACATTTAGAGTAATTTGCTGCTGTACATTTCCACATGATAAGCCACTTCGTTGAGCTATCATTTGTGGCCAGGTGGCTTCTGAAAAAGAGCTATATAGCTCAGTAGTGGCCTTACCTGGTAAAATAAAACATAGTTTAGTTTGTACGCTGTGGCTCCCTGCTTGGGCTTTCGACCGCAGGTTTGAGGCTCATCTGCAACCCCTGATTATTCTGCCGGGTCCTTCCAATATCGTTCTTGACCCTTCACATCCTCACCTTGGCCCCACAACCTCATAACCCTTAGCCTCTTGACCTTTGCCTCCTGGGTTGTTTAAATCTCTTTCCCAGATGCGTCGTCTTTTCTTTCCTGGACCTTGGTACTCAATTAGTCAGAACCGCGCTGCCTCATAACCCCTTCTCGGATTTCCCCAACCTCTCACCTGGGTCTGTCAACTCATTGCCTTTTAACACACTGCACTGTTCAGCTTTGAAACTGGATCCAGTGTCAAGGCTGAAACTAACCAAATTGTTGTTTTCATTCACACAGCAAGACGCAACCCTAATATCGTGCAGTCTACACTCCATATTTGTGAGTGGCTGATGCTCATCCTACTCATAGGTTTTTTCAGTAAAGTCACGTAGGTAAAAATAAATAATAACAATAATTAATATTATTATTTATATTATTTATTACTTATTTTATTTTTTACCTACGTGACTTTACCGAAAAAACCTAAGAGTATGAATCCTTGCAGTCACGAAAGCTTCAAATCTAGAATTGATGCTCATCCTCGCCATGTATCCAATGATCCTGAGCCCACCGGAATTGTTTCGGTCATTGAGTCTAAAAAAATAAATATCTTGGTACAAGATGAGCTGAACTTACCCTTGTTTAGGAATGCAAGAGTGAATGTCAACGTAATGGGTAAAGGTGCAGCCCTGCAATTGCATGCTCACGCCACAGCTGGTAGAAGGGCCTCCGCTCAACAGAGCTCTAGGAGAATGCCCCGAGGCCATGTACGTGCGTTGCATGTACGCCAGACGTACATTGAACTTTTTTCGCACTTGTGCGCAGCCAACCGTGCTCATCGGAGGCGCGGCGTGGCCAGACGTCTCGCAAGAGTCGGGATCTCTGGAGACAAGCAAAGTCTTCCCCCCTTAAATTTCGATTTAAAGCTTTCGTGACTGCAAGGATTCATCTTCTTGGTTCTTTCGGTAAAGTCACGTATAAGAAAAATAATAATAAAATAATACAAATAAAACATAATAAAATAAGATCATTCTCACGACGTTTCGGCCACAACGCAAGCAGCCGTCCTCAGGCTTTTATTTTAATATTATTATTTTCCTTCTACGTGACTTTACCGAAAGAACCAAGAAGGTCTTCCCCCCTTGTTTGTGCGCACTCGGCGCAGGAGCTGAACCGGCTGCGGCGCGCGGCGCTGGCGTTCGGCTTCTGGGAACTGCTGCGCGGCGTGGCCGACGTGCTGGAGCGCGAGTGCACGCTGCTGCCCAGCTCGGCGCACCCCGACGCCGCGTTCCAGCTGGCGCACGCCGCGCAGCAGATGCGGCTGGCAGCGCGGCCCGACCTGCACCGCGCCACGGCGTACGACTGCTGCGTGGCGCCGTTGCCCACCAACTTCTCCTGCGCCGGGGTCGAGTGACCGCACGCTCCCGCGGGCGGGGCGGGCGGGCACAGCGGGCGGGCGGGCGAGCGGACGGGTAGCCGGTGACTGTCGAGTGAACTCGTCCGGCCGCGGTGATTTTTCTACGCGACGTGTTCGGGATGCGCCCGCGCGGTTCGTTGCGGCACGATGCCCGACGTTTTTCGCCACATGCTGTGGGAGCTTCTACAGGAAGAATTAGTTCGATCCCTGAAGTGCCCAGCACTTGGAATGAAATATCAGACATGGTGGCGAACTGGCGCGCGCAGTACAGCCCAGAAACGCGTATCGGAGAGTTATACGGCACGACGCTGAAAAACCGACACAGTAAACGACGCTTCGCTTCGGTAACAGCAAAGTGCCCTTTCCTCCTTGAGAAGGGACGTAGCGGGTGCACTTGATGGAAATATGTAAACCCAGATCGGATGCATATGTGTACCCTGTGCAACTGCCAGCACTCGTGTTGCTGATTTCAGTTACGCACGTGTCAGCAGGAAGACGAGTATCAATAAAAAGTACGTGATCCGTGCGTTCTGACACGTTCGAAACGTGAACGTGTCCTGATTAGCCGTGTAATGCAAATGGGGATAACTGATCACAGTTTCGTTTGTTTGCTTTATATGCTGTGTTCGTGCTTTCTGAGTGTTCCTATGGAATGCACCAGGGGTGATTGTGGCACTTCAATAAAAATGTGGGAAGTCACGCAGTGTGACTGCATGAAAAGTTGTCTATAAATGAAAGACGGAGAGAAAAGTGCCAGTTTTGATGACTTGCGCAAAGCAATTGCATGGGCTTTTGCAGTTAGGGCTGAGGATGGAAAAATTATCCCTTCCCTTTCAAGTTTCCCTTTGAGCTCTGACCAGAGGCTTAAACGATGCCTTTAAGTTGTCTATTTCACTTCAGGGTAATATTCTTGCCTGATAAAAGTGATGGGCATGGGACCATACAGAAGTCTATTAGGGCCTTTTACAAAGACTCCAAGTGGCCGTAAGGCAAAAAGATATATCCGTTTGAAGAACATTGTCTTAAAAATATACATGTGCAATTCTTCTCATTGTGTTTATGTAACGTGCCAATTCGGTGTCTTTTTGTGCTAATGTTGTAAATTTATTTACGAACTGTGACAAAAAATATGCTATAAAAGGGCAGTTGGCAAGGTTTCCTCTGATGATTGATTGCTAAAGGTTATACAAGTAACGTAATCTCACGTTTGCCGTTTTCGAGATGACGTTATGTTCTAATTTTTACGATTATATTTTCTCCAGCCACACATTATTTAGTTGACCTCAGAAACCGCAGGAATGTGTGCATGTTTAGCAGCTTGACCTATGACCTTTGGCTGCTTGCTGCTGTCACGACAAATGCATACGCCACAATTACACGATCATTCCCCCTTTGTTTTTGAAATTTTCATTTTTTATTTTCAGCCAGGGCCGTCTGAGCTTCGAAAAATATTCCACCCCCTGCCAACTCCTGACAAAGGGGGCGGGAGGCAGGGGTGGTGAGATCCAGGCTATTGAGAGCTTTGGTATCCTGGAAAATATTCCCCGAGGAAATAATCCCTTTTTAGTAACCTTGCAAACCGACACTTTAACTGCCCTCAAATATTCTTTAACAGCAACGCTTAAAACGAGGTTGCTTTGCATCGGCGAGCTGTTCATACGCTGCTGGCACCGTAGTTTGTGAACATCACTCCAGCGGCACCACTCAAGACGAACGCTGCTGCCTGCTGCCCGCCTGATCCCTTTTCTCAATTATGCGCATCCTTCATGCCGCATTCGTTAGCACGTATCAGTGCTCAATTATTCACGACACGCTGGCAACTCTTCCGGCTCACGGTGACATTTAGTGCAATTGGTAGTGACGGTACATGGGTGTTGTGTTTTGTCATCAACTTATAGTGAAATAGCCACCCTGCTGCCAAGCCTGATAACCATTGTTGTGAAAATATATAAACGGATGTGTTTTAAGTATATAATCGTGTCGTGCTTGTGACTGCCGTGCGCCGATGTCGATTGTCGCTATTTATACAACGCGGGCCCCTTGCTGGAGGAGCACTCCAAGCCTCTCGTTGTTGCCTTCTTGCAAGTGCGGTTTAAACACGGCCCAAGCAACACCATCCCGGCACTGCAAATCAGCCGCCACGGTGACCTGAAGCCAAGCATGGACATGGCACCTCTGACCCCTGAGCACATTATACTAGTTGGTGACTACATTTTTCAGTTTTATACAAATTTCCAACATTTTTAAAAGTGGAGACCAACATTTTAATGGCAGTACATTTTTACCAAATTCCAATTTGCAACTGAATGTGCCGGTTGCGTTTGTGAAGTTGTTAATACTACATTGAATATTATCGGAATTTTTTTTTCCTGGGTCGTGTTCTTGGGACAATCGCAACAAACTAGAAATGTGGATAATGCGCCATAAACTACCGCCCATTAAACAAGAGCGTGAACTTAATGTCACTTTTTCGTGCTGCTTTTACAAAAAAAAAGGATTGCCTATCAGCATTGTTCATGTTGTGAAGGATAACGGGCCTGTTGTTGTGGAAAACAGTTTACTTGTTGATGTGCTTGCTTTAAGTACGATGTATCCGTTTACTTAATACACGTTATTCTTAAAGAAAAATGCCTCTTGTTTGCTAAATGTATGAAAGTCAAGCTTCACGATTACCCATCTCAAACAGATCTTGCCCTTGCCATGTTCACTTTTGGACAAAAACGTCCCACCTTATCTCATTTGGCACTATTCCAGAGGAATAATCAAATCTTAATTCATAGGCTCTCCAAGTCAAAGACGCTAATTATACACGATGTAATGCAATTTTTGTTCCTGGGTACTAAGTGTTCTTTTTATTTATTGCTTATGCCTAAAAAGTGTAGAAAATGGCTATTATTCCCCACAAACTTTGCTTTTGTGACCAAGACTTTGTGAACGAAATATACAAATGCACACCACGTTTTCTCATTGAAAATAAGTAAATTTCAAAATATCACTGTCCTGGTCACAAAAGCAAAGTTTGTGGGGAATAATAGCCATTTTCTGTACTTTTGAGGCATAAGCAATTAGGAAATAACACTTACTACCCAGGAACAAACATTTTTTTTGTTAGTGTTATCATTATTACTGTTATTGATAATGTCATGCCCTCAATTTCACTGTCTAATTGATATTTACCCGAGTACTGCTGCCAGCCCTTAACCGAGTTGTTATATTTTCCTTTGTGCAGCAAAGTTTGCCGAGTTCACATACTGGTTTCGAGGGTGACTCGTTCATTCCTAGTGCCCGATTACATACATACTGCAATGGAGAAAACCACCGGTGGTCATCCTTTGGACCGACCGGTACCTGGCCATGTGATTGTGGAATTTTCATCAGTGGGTTGAGGGCCACCAAGAGAGAGAGAGACACGGAGAGGATCGTGGCCCCATGCTGTTTGGCAATTCCAGCCAAACGTGCAAATAGGGCGACACTCCTCCGAGTAGAATACAATCAGACGACAATCCAGGCAGGTGTATAGAAAACAAGTTTAATTTTGTTTCCTTGCATATAAAATGAGAAAAAATGTACAAACATAAGTAAGAAGCATACAGAAAAGGCCTACAGTAGTTGAGTCTGCCTGCAAATAGAGTACCGGACTTCTACATGACAATGCAGATTATAATTGTTCAAAGCCTACAAAGCAGGAAGTGGCTACTTTGACTGTTATTCCAACCTTTTCCACCCAGTGGTTCGGCATTTAACCAAAATATTCGACTGATACCTCAACGTGGTATTATAATCTACAATAAGGGTTTTAATGTTACAGACGTAAGGCAATTGGCTATTCACAGAAATATGGTATTATATAAAAAGCATTATTTTTGTATTTGCCTGGGCGGAAAAGGGTTGTTTTTCTCATGTTAAATTTCTGCACGCTCACAAACACGTGATACATAAATTCAGTGCGATAATATTTACCACTTACATGTAACAGCCCTAAAAAAAACAAGCCACTGAGACGTGCATACACGAATGTGAACCTTGTTCAAAGACTACGGGAGCTGATTACGTCGTCACCCTAAACTACCAAAAGAGTAGCTGTACGATGAAAGATTACAGCGAGATTACACAAGTCTTATTTTCCAACTTTTTTTTTTACTCTTCATCTTTTAATTGTTCATCATAAATTATGTGCACGAGCAGCCTGGTCTTTAATTTATACATATAAAAAAAGCTTTTTTTTTTAAACCTTACAAGTTGCCCAACAATTGCAACATCATTTCACGTGATACATACATTTTATTCAGTTTATTTGAATCACTTACAGTTGACGTACGTGCGCATTACTCAGTGGAATAAAAACACCACCGCCGCTTATAAATAGCAACACAGAAACTGGAACTTTCTTTTAATATCTATATATCTTTTAAAAAAATCAATAAGAAGAAAAAATGGCTACAATTAACAAATGTTTATTGAAAATAAATATAATTTCTTTAAAAAAATTTCTACAACAACCTACAGTGGTAACTAAGACCGTGGAATTAAAAACAACTGACCTTAACTTCTTTGTTTCAATAGGCACTGGCTGGGAATGCCACGTCTGTTAAGCCATAATGAACGGATGTGAAGTATGTACCGTGCAGTATGGGACTGCACAGTAGAGAATACCAAAAGTGTTAACGGACCAGGTGAGTACAACGTTAGGTACACATTGCCGTTTTTTTATGCACACAGTATACATGTAAAAACATTTAAACGTTTTGAGAATGGGATATTAAATGCACGCACTCAGTTCAGACAGCAATTGTTACTCTGAATACGGTGACTTCTTCGTATAAGTTGAACATAACTGGCTTAACAAACCTAAAATGCTTGTGCAGCTTTTTTTAATACCACATTCTCAAGACTCTACAACCACGCGCACGTGAGTAGGTGCGTGTGTTCCATGCCTCTAAGAGGCAACAAACTCTTAAGACATGTCTTTCAGGTGTGAGAGAAAAACCTCTATCTGTTGAAAATGCAACTGAAAAAGGTAAAGAAAAAAAAGGGCTAATGAAAACAGCCCAGGTGTTATTTTATTGTTGGGACGGGTCGCAGACAGCCAATCGGTATAATTGCTGGGCCTTGTTAATCATATTAACTATGCGCCATCTACAAATGTGGTTGTAACAATATCACAATCCAGCCTCGTAACTCCAGTTTTAAACGAGAGCTAAGCGAAACGCTCCCTCCCGCCGTGGAAGCTCACTGGTCTACTACAGCCATGACATTAACTGCGATAAATCTCGAGAGATGTCAAAACAGTCAATAAACTGGTTCATATACATTTGAAATGGGGCTCAACATAATCATAATTGGGCATTCTAGCGTTATTCACTTAGCGTTTATTGAATATCGTTTGATGCGCTTCGATTGAACTCTGCGCGTGGTTATAAATGAGTTCCAGGTCTATGAAATGCCGCTCAAAAATATAGGACCAATGACGATTACGCTATTCTGTTTCAAATAACCCCATCCACATTCTCGTTGTCTCCAAAATGAGAGAAAAAAAATACTCCGACTGAATGTACATGGATATTAAAATGTAAACGAGTATCCTTTAAAAAATATAAAAACTAATTTCCATAAAAAGCACATCACGTACACTTTTAAAACGATGCAGAAAAACAGAGTGAATGTGGGTGGAAAGAAAATGGATGTATGCTTTTCGATGCAAAAGCACTTTCAGTAATACAGAGTGTAACGCTACACAATTTAGCACATTACTGGAAAAGCAACTTGCAAATGTTACCTTCAGGGTTCTCTGTGCTATGGATCGGACTTTGGCTCATTGCAGGACATGGCTTCCATTTCAATTTTTTTTGTTTTCATTGTTATTTTAGAAAAAAAAAATAAAGATCCCAAAATAACCGAAGCACTTTTTGTTTTGCACTTGAGCCCTGAATATCAAAATATGCATTGGATGGATATTTCAACAAGTTTCTAAAACGTGCTACACACCCACAAAAAGAACAGCATTTCAGAATTTTACAAAATCTCATCCATGTCTTATCAGAGCTGTTTTTTTCACCATGTACATTTTTTGTCTTTTTCTCGTTATTGTACTTTAAGCCCAATATCACTTTTCTTTTGGTAATCATGTACACAGTGGACAAACAAGTGCGAAAATATAACAAGTAAAAAAAAATAAGTTCAATGAAAAATGTGGCAGTGTACAGATCTTCAGTTTTGATTTTTCAGGAAAGGTTCTTTGTGTTTTTCTGCTGATTCCAAAAGGTGCATGGGCTTTGTTCACACGACTCTCGAGTCCAAAATAAGGGACGGCTGAACCCCATCCCCAGGCTTAATGTTACGAACTTCATGTTGACCCTGGGAAAGCGCTAAACCAAAACGCACACAAACACCATAGCCGATTGTTCTCCGTCATTCATGGAGAAAACAACAGTGTGATCCAGGTGACTGCAGCCTCTCCGATGCGTGGTCTGCTATTATATTGATCACTGGGCAAAGACTGTCCCCGGCCACTTGTTCTTCTGGGCTACAGTTGTAAGAGGGGATTTCTCGATGCTTCCTGGTGCAAGTGCGAGGTACTGCCGTCATCAATGTCCTTGGGAAAGCGGCAAGGCCCGGCCCCAATGGCGGCCGTTGAGGAGCGAGGATGAAGTGGAGCAGGAAGAGGACACAGCAAGACGGTTTCACAGATTCGGGGACACGTACAAAATGGACGGGTGAAAATAAAGACCAACAAGCTTGCTCAGGTCTGTACATTGTCCACTTGTCTCAACCATGCTCCCCATCAGGAACGGCCCATGGTCTCCAAGTAGCTTTGTAGTTTCCGAACTGTCGTCTTATCCAGCATGCAGAGGTCAAAGTCAAAGGTGGTTGTTGTGATTTGGAAGTGGCCCGTCTCTTCGATCAGGTTCACAATCTATGGGCAAGAAAGATAAAAATACGAGAAGAGTTTTTTTTTAAGTTTTGATGCACAGCAGCCGTTAAAGATCCTCTGAAGCCTTTGCCAGAGTAGGTCATTGAGTGCAAGCGTCAGGATCCAAATTTGAAAATTACCTGCAAACTACTCTATTGGGATTAAACATAGCAATCATGAACTCTCTACTGATAGATTAATGTCCCAGGCCACTGTTGCGAATTAAACTATCAGTGTCTTTAATCGCCACCTTGTTCAATATAAACGTAACCTGAACCAACTTAGCTTGCCTAACAGGGACTTAAGCAATTCGGCTGAGAGTTTAACAGTCACGAGACTTCATCGGAAAGCTGGACACTTGAAAGACATTCCATGTTGCCATTGCAACATTAAAATAAGTTCCACACACCTTAATTAATGAGTAAAAATGTAATACAATCAAGGTGATTGTTTCCAAAAACATCATGAGACGCGACTGCCAAAAATTGCACCTTAAGCGGCAGCTGAAAACAATTCAAATCATTTCATTTTTTTTACAAAATGTTGTGAAATTAAGGTGCAGTTCATCATTCACATTTTTGCAGACTGTGCAGCAGACACGATCTTTTGGACATGCGCTCGCAAGTCGGTGCAATGCACGGCTGCAACAGACCTTTTGTTGCAAGCCGTGGTGGATGGCTGCCAAAACACTTGGGAAATGTGGC